GTAAAGATTTAGTCTTGGAAACTCTAAGGAGCAGTTCTAATCTGACCTGCAGGGTCGCTGTGACTTCCTAGTGTCACTTGATGGCAGTGGGTCTGGTTTTTTGTTATCTATCTAAAGCAGACACTTAGTATTACTCCAAACAAGCCCACAGGAACACCATACGGATAATACTGTAGGCCAGAAATTCCTCCTGTCCTTGGAAGTATTAGCTTATTTAAAAATCACTTCAAACCTGGCATGGTAAAACGGAGGGCCTTTTCGATACAGCACTGCAGAGAAAAAGAGAAATGAAAATATGGGTAAGGACTCAAAAATCAAAAGTGATATTAATACATTTCCCCACCTTCTCCAAAGGGAGGCAAACACCCAATTATCTGTATGTGGAGATGGGCAATATGCTCTGTACTCATTTTTAAAACTCAACCTATCCTCCCCTGCCTGCCCCCCCTCCCCCATAAGCAACATGCAATTAGTACAGCAAACCTTTGCTAGAACTTCAACCCTTACGCCCACCAACCAATGAATTCCAAAGTACAAGGATTCCTGTCGTGCCTCTTGTCTTACATCATGCAGAGTGAGCTTATGAAGTGTAATTTGGGTCAACGCCTTCAAATCAACCTAATTTAAAGCGCAGAGGGTCCTAAGAGTTGAGATTAACTCATGGCGGTGGGTGGGTTTCGTTAGCTTGCTTTTAGTTGGGGTGGTTACGATGGCTGGGTTCTAGGTTGGGTGTTTGGGCTAGTCATGAACAAGATTCATGCTCCTTTTGAAGAAATCCAAAGTCAAATGGCGCGGGTGGGGGTGGGAGAGAGAAATTCTAGAACCTTTACGTTATCCCCGTGGGGATCTGGATGCCCTGTTGTGCGGGTGAGCAATCCGTGGAGATCCAGGAGAGAGCCTGGGAGGAGCCAGGTGCCTTTACACACATCAGACCAGCTGCCTGGGGGCCCACTCTGACTCGGGGGCAGCTGGAGACGGCGGCCAGAGCAGAGCTGCTCCACAGGGTTTGCAATGGCTGACTTTACTGAAGGCATCACCAGGCCTTTCTTGTGAGGTGCTTCTGGCTGAGCTGGACCTTCTTTCAGTTAGCAGCTGCGCCCACCCAAGGACTGGGGAACCCTTTGGTGTTGTTAGGTGCCATCGAGTCAGATGTGACCCACAGTGGTCCTCTGCACGACAGGACACAATGCCTCACGGTCCTGGGCCATCCTCACAATGGTTCCTATGCCTGAGCCCATTGTCGCAGCCACTGTGTCAGTCCACCTCCTTGAGAGTCTTCCTCTTTTACGCTAGCCTTCCACTTTACCAAACATGATGTCCTTCTCCAGGGGCAGGAGAGCCTGACGTGTCCAAAGGATGTCAGACGAAGTCTCGCCATCCTTGCCTCCAAGGAGCACACTGGCTGCACTTCCCCCAAGATCGGTCCGTGAGACGTTCAATGTTCTTCTCCAGCACAATTCAAATGCATCCATTCTTTGGTCTCTCCGTGCAAATCAACCCTCTGTGTAGGGCTGGTTAACTGTTTACCAAGCTGCTCCCTTCCCCTGCTGGGCTGGACCCTGCTTCCTGGGCTGGCTTCTAAGATGAGGGTGGCATGTCTGGTTCCGGTCGAGGGCACGGGCAGCTGTCCCACATTTCACTTCCATACTGGCCCTTAAGCCTCTAGCAGGTGTGAAGCCTGTGGTGGCCCGGGAAGGCCCACATGGCATATTCAGAAGCCCCCCCTCCACCCCCACCCCCAAAGCAGCTAGGGCCCAAGAAGTTCCCTTTGCAGGAGGACCTGGTCCCCAGTTGGAGTTACCACTTTGGAGTTCATATGAACAAAATATTAAGTTCTGTTACGTTAAACCCTTGATCATCTGGGGATTATCTGCAACTACAGTTAGCACGTCCCTAACTCACACACAAATACAACTGAAAATTTTCAGTCATTTCCTCTGGGAAGAGCCCCTATGGGAGTTGAGGAAAAGCTTTTTTTTCTTAAGGAACTGAAATACTGTTTCTTTCTAGACATACCAATCCTGGAAGGAATCAAGCCTCTCCCTTTTGTTTTGGGAAGCTCAGAGCCAAGTGTGTTCAGGGCTGCTGAGGACCCGATGGACAAACTGGACCCTTCACCTAGTTTTGTTTTGCTGGGCTGCTGTCCACAGTCACATTTCCCTTTATCTCACCGTGTTCCCTATTCAAATTGCATGTAAGCTCTTTGGAGAGTCGGCTCAAGTCCACCGGGTAAGGAAACAAATGTAAATAAATCCGCAAACATGCACGCCTCAACTTTTGAAGTGCGGGGAAGCACTCACGGTGCTAGAATGAGGTTCAAACTCAGGAGGGCTGCTTCTCGTCCAATCTCTGCCACTCCACGCTGTGTGACTTCAGGCAAGTGATCAACTACTCTGAGCCTCACTTTCCAAGAGGACAAAATGAACACACCGGGAAAGTGAAGCTCTTTTCTAGCTCTGGTAGTGTAATCAGAAGGGCAGAGACTCAAACCCACGTGTTCTCGTAAAGGTTGACAAAGCCCCCGAGCCCTTCCTTACAGAGTAGCTAGGAGTCAGCATCAATTCGATGGCAGTGGGTTGGGTTTGGGATCACGTTATACCCCTTAACTATTATCATTTGAAAGTGGCTCATACTCATCAAGTCAGGTCATTTCTGATCACTAGCCACCACTCGTCTGGCAATTTGGTGTCCAGCAACGGATTTAAAAATATTTCCAAATACTGCGAAAATGGATGGTTTTACTGCTTGGTTTAAAATCGTGAAAAGTGTACATCAAGTTTGTACGGTCAACAAAAAAACAAAAACAACCCTCCCGCAAGGTGACCGGCACAGTGGCCGTGACCAGTGGGCCCAACACAGCCATGTGAGTACGGGGCAGGACCAGGCGTGCTTGGCTCTGTGGGACACGCACGGGGTCAAGGCACCTAGCAGCAACCACGATCATGTCGGAAAAGGGCACCAGGTTTGGCAGAGGAGCCCAGCAACGTGGTGAGGATGGCACGGGGCTGGGCCAGGCTCTGTTCTGCGGTGCAGGAGGACGTCAGTAAGTGCTGCTCCGGGGCTCCAGTTCACGCACGAGCTGAGGCCAAACAAAACGTGTTCAAAGAGGACTCTGCGATCAGTGGGTTGCTGCAGACAGGTTCTCTCAGTCATTCACTTCTCCGACCCTCGTTAGGGTACCGCCAAAAGAAAGGGGTCCAAGCAAAACCCAGGCTTTTGAGGAGCTCCGTTTGGCCAGTTAAATGCAAGGCTTTTTTGAGATGCCGAAGGGGCAACTGGCAGCTTTTCCTGAAGGACACAGGATAATTATCCACAGGGCTCGTGAGGGAAGTAAGAAAACAGAAAGCTGTGCCAGGCCATTGTTTTCATCACAGCAGCGCATCTGCTCGTTCTGAGGGTAGCAAGAGCGGCCGCATGAGAACTGTCTTGGGAATCCTTGCTTCATCCGCTCTGCAGTCCTGACTTTGCCCCTTCAGATGCATTCTTGTTCTTAAAATGCAACGAATATTCCAAAGGAACCCAACTGAAGTCCCTCGAGGCTGCCCAAACTGTCCAGCCGAGAGTAGAGTTCTCAGGGGAGGGTTAGCGATGGAAACACTGCCTTCAGGAGTATGCAGACTCAGACGGAGGATATGCTGAGGGGCTACGGCTTCACACCTTGACATTGTTTCATAAAGGTTTCTACACTTTTGCAGCAATACTTTTTGACTTATTGGGTTGCTGTGAGTCAGAGTTGATGCTGTGGCAACTAGCAGCCGTAAGTCACAATGCGAGTGTCGTTCAGGAGCACTGCGGATATCATGGGTGAAGGGTGCATTGTGATCCCAAAGGTTAGCAGCTGGGACCCACTAGCGGCATGGTGCAAAGAAGATGAGGCTCTATTTCCGTCAAGGTTTACCGTCTCAGAAACCCCATGTCTACTCTGTCCGGTCTGGCTCTCTCAGACGGCACTGGCTCGACGACAGACGCTTTGGTACAGCTCGAAAGTTTAAAAAGCATGAAACACTGGCAACAGACAGACCTGAACTCAAGTCTCGGCAGTGCCACGACAATGCTTGGCACTTCACTTCCTTTTTATGGGAAGTCTTGGCATAGTGCCTGGCACATATAAATGCGCAAAGAACTTATTCATAATAAGTCTAATTACAATGATGCCATGCACCCAGAGGGAAAAAGGAAAAAAATATATAAGCTTTTTTCATGACAAAAACGCCACCCAGGTAGAAAGATGACAACTATGCGAGTCTGAGAAACATAGCACATTTAACAAAGTTTAAATGTAGAGCGGGTTGAAAGAATGGTCTTCTCTCCACACACCTATCAGCTAAGAACTGCAGAGGGATGACAGAATTAGAAAATGAGGACTTATGCAATTATTAATCCAGGCAATCACCATCATTTTAGGGCAACAAGACAGTTTGAGAGCATCACCCTTTAAATGTAATTTTAACCATGCCCATTATCTGACAGTGGCCACTGCAGGCCAATGACCACTTTGGCCTGGCAAGTTATCCCATCACCCGGGAGTGCTGCACATGGGTGAACGTGTAACTCTCCCGGTGAGAAAACCAGACTTCCCCGGAATGGGGGGCTTCCAAAAGTGTCTGTGGCTTACGGAGAAGACTGGTCAGTTTGTGGCCCCCTTGCTGGGAGAGGTCACGCCTTGAAAGGAATTGCATACTATAAGTGGTATGGAGAACTGACCCTGAGAGCAGAGTAACTAGATGGGTGCCTGGCTGCTCTGATATGAATCACATTAAAAGGTCCTGGGATAAAATGTGAACAAAATGGAGAACAAAATTCAAAATCATAGAGAAGACATAGCAAAGTGTGGTGAAGAAACTAGATGGTGCCCCGCTATAATGAATAATAGTGTCTGAGGTCTTAAAGGCTTATCTCAAACAATCAGGCATTTAACCGAGGAGTGAGCTAAGTCCACAAAGAAGCAGCTTACCAGCCTGCATGATTCAAAGATAGCTAATAACAAGATCCACATTTGGAAAGGGGAATGGTACCCCATATGATAGGGTAGAACTGCTCTGGTGTATTTCCTAGACTGTTAACTCTTTACAGGAGTTGAAAGCCTTGTCTGTTTCCTACAGAGCAGCTGGTGGTTTTGATCTACTAACCTTGAGGTTAGCCAC